ACCCACCCACCCACAAATCATCGGTGAACGAAACTGCGGCAGCTACAGCCATTGTACGACGAGTACGTGGTTATTACAGCTGACAATGACGATGATGATGATGCGATGTTCAGTAATTTCCACCACCTCGGCTATCAGCCGCTGTGTTGTAAATCACAGTTCCGTCTTAACACCTCCACGTTCACCAGATCTATTCTATGTCCCGTGTCTGAGGCATGTACCGCCATCCCTAATGACCAGACCAGCGTTTGGTATTCCTCAGTAACCACAAGAACCTTGAAACACTTCTGAAAATTCTTTCAGTTATCCGATTACATGATTTATAGTAATGTCCCGTGTCTGAGGCATGTACCGCCATCCCTAGGTTCGGTTCCAGCGTTTGGTATTCCTCAGTAACCACAAGAACCTTGAAACACTTCTGAAAATTCTTTCAGTTATCCGATTACATGACCTTTTTTATAGTAAAGCTTCTTTCCTTTGGCAACACACAGGGCAGATCGCTTTTAGCGTTATCTTTCAAAGTTTCGTTTATATGGTAATGTTTGGCTAAATAATTTATGTATTCAAATCCAGCATCAGGTGCTCACCAAACTGGGTGTTACAGTTGGAGTTTTCAGAGGTTCTGACTCTTATAGTAGTATATGTTTTTCAGCTGTTGGTGGTGGTAATGTAGCTACGGATGAGCATATGCGACAGCAGATCACACATTGCAGCTAATCAATCAGGAAACATTAGATGAGTAGTGTGTTACGTCTACCCATGTATCGTGCAAACTGAAACATAAGGTGACCTGGTGCAGAACATTTAGTTGCTTAAGGACATCATAAACGACAGATTCAGCTGGGTTCCAGGTAACCCTCCCGTGAAAACAAAATTGGTATGGAAATGAATGTATTTGTCTAGATATGTCCAACTTGATTTCAATTAGAACATAAGTTTATTGAAAACTTGGGGACTGTGCCTACTTGATGATCCCGAAGTAGAAGGGTGCGAACGTTCGAAGAGTTTTCAACAACCTTATGAGTAGTGCATTACGTCTAAATCCATATACTTATTTTCAGAATAAAATGGTGTTTACTGAAGACTCAACTGGAACTCAGTGTAATCACTCGCTTTTTTTACGCAAGCGGATTCTGTTGTGGGCTGCCCAATGACTTGAAATGTACTTATACGTATCACCATTACTGAGGATTTCGTACTGCAAGTAAAACCAATCTATGCTGGAAAGCTTAGAAGTATCCTTGTTGAGAGTCATCAGCAGTGCGCATCTCATAAATCTCCAGGGAGTTCCGAACCGGGGACCCCCTGGCTAGTAGATTGAATACTTAACCGTCTGGCCATGAGTGGCTGGTCAACACTATGACCAGCTCTTACTTAGACAGGATATAGGATAGAACAAGATATACGATAATGTTGCTTCTGACAGGACACCAATATGATGTTGCAATGAACAAACACATTCCACCCAGACATCAAGTTGAACCAACCAAACAACACACCTAACCTGCCAATCGAATCGAAGAGACTGGACAAACGGACAATATGAACACAAGCAACGAGGACCAGAGCACTACAGCCAACAACGGTAACAGTCTCTCCTGCAGCATTAATAAGCTACATGCGCTACAGTTACATGAGTTGCCGGGTAAACCGTAATAACTATCAAATATGCGACCAAGTTAACACCAGTTAAGCACATAAAGCCCGGTACAATTATCCGGGTGCAACAAATGTGCGTTCTAAACAGCTTGGATAACGTAGTCCACAACTATGTCCGGAGTAGTCTTGTCTTTGAAATGCGATGCCTTTCTCTACCAGCCTTTATTGAGAAGTAGAATATCTGAGCTATTGAGAACGTATATAAAAGTAACCATAACTATGGCCACCTACACTGCTCGCATCTTAAATAAGCCAACCTGAACAACACAGCCATACAGGGCAAGATGATTCGGCAAGGCACGGATTTGGCTGATTACCAATGACAGTAATATTCAGAAGGGGCTTTACACACCTTCCCAGCTTGACGAATGAGTCGATCAACAGGTGAAGCCAATCCATGCCCAGAATCAGAGGAGCACTGTACAGGTGTTCCATTCTTAGTGGAAATCATCATTAGTGTGCTTTTCACGAATCCGCAAGGAGATTCGAACTCAAAACCACCCAGCTAGTAGTTGAACTGGAAATTGCTCGGCAGTGAGCAGCTGGTCAGCATTGTGATTGGCTCTCACTTAGCATGTCGCCATTCATCCTACAGACACGGAATCCAAATCACATGATCACGTGCTGATTGTTGACCAGTCAGTTTCGAAACAAGTTCGACAAATTCGACCACATGATAAGCACGATTTGTGTGACCACAAACTGACCTTCTTGTTCCATTGAATTTAGGGCAAACTTTTAACCCAATTTCCAAATGACTCCCCGCGCAACTTGTAAGGGTTGTGTAGGTTATTGAACAAAATCTTTTTTAACTTTCAGATAAGCACAAACGCACTTGAGTCCCTACTGGTCCAGTTGGAAGTGGGCTACAGCAAATACAGTAACCCTTACCACAATCTTATGCATGCAGCAGATGTGATGCAAACTTGTCATATGATCATGCACTTGAACAATTTAAGGGTGAGTACTAATTTTAAGTGTGTTACTCGGTTTATTGCGGATGTATTTTGTAGTTTGAATATTTGGCTGTGCGTCGCGAGAATCTAAACAAGTAAGTAAACAAGTAAGCAAGACAGGTATAGATCATTTATCAAAGAGGGGACGGCAGCCCTGGTGAAGGCACCCGGTGAATATATACTAATATAATATATAATACACGGTATGTATTATACAATATAATCATCTAACTACAAGAGTGCTCAGCTTCAAATCTGGTGTACTAATTTATGCAACCGCGCCCTGTCTAGAATTGTGGTGTAAAATGTAGGGGTCTGAAGCTCAAAGATTTCAGAACTGCCCGAACTTGCATGTATAGTCACCATTTTAATTCAAAGGTGCCTCGAAGGCAAACTGAGTGAAAGGTGAACAGTCAGCCGACCGATGTCCGAACCTCAGCTTTTGTATAGATCGCTATCTGGAGTAAGGATCTGTGAAGAAAGGTTGGCTTAATTTCCACCTCAGGTTCACTGAAATAAGACGATGTTTAGATTGGCAACAAGTCTGATTGACCCATTTGTATGCCTTGTAATGGTCGACAGGACTGTGAAGCCGCTCAGTAGAAAAGATTAGCCCTGTTAGAACAATCTGACCCACCATAGCCCAAATAAATAATAAACGAAGCACACAAGGTAATTTGCTTGTTTTAAACTGGTGGAATTTGAGCATTTTTGTAAACAGGCAAACCAACTGTTCTGGTTTTTCTTAGCAGAATTGGTTGACAGATTTGGACGCCTTCGCGCTGTTGTTTGCGGCCGTCATTCACGACTATGAACATACAGGAACAACCAATAATTTCCACATTTCGACCGCGTAAGTTGGAAGAAGAATGTGCAATCTGTACTGTTTTAATAGATCTTAATGGCAGCTGGCCTGTCGGGCAGTAACTGTTTTTTTTTGTGAGAGAAAAGACTAGATTTGGGATCACCACACCTTGGATGCACTTTTATATCCGGTCAAGTTTTCGTGTGGAAATTCTTGCAATGGTTGGTTAATAACTGACATCCAATAGCAGCTGAACCATTATTAGAACATTTGCCTTTCTGTTCTTGCACAGTTTTCCGTACTGCCAGAGTAAAAAGCAGTAAGCATTGGACCTGCATTTTGATCAAGGTAGCGCGAGTGGATAAGCTATGGATCTCCGTTTTAACGGGTTCGAACCCCACGTGTACCTTAGAATCGCTTGCCAGTCCTGAGCGTCTGTGTACATTCTTTGGGTCTACATTCTCAGATTTTAACCCCGAGTGTCAGAAAACGAGGCCAGTATATTAATTCACCACTTCTCCACACTGAATGCCTGGATTATGATATCTGAACACGCGAGCGCATTCACAGTTGACCATGATCATTTTTATTGTAATAACGAAAATGATTGGGTTTATGGTGATGTTGATGGAACCTTCTGACTTGGTGCTACTTAATAGAACGCGATCAGACACATTTTCTCTTTGCGTAGTAATTATTTCTAGGAGTAACATGTAACGGGGCAATATAGCGACGTGTCCGTTTGACTAAACAATGAACATTCATCAAAGTTTCAAAGAAGATTGTATCTGATCAACGGGAACTCTCTTAAACAGAAAATAATCCTTGATGTGTATTAGTTTCTTAATGGATTGTTAAGAAAACCAATGTGGTCCCTTGTTTTCTCTTGATTTTTCTTGCGCACATGTTCGTTAAATTTATGCTCAACTTTAGTTATTTCGCCCGAAGACACTCGAAAAATCATGTCATACATTGGGCGAGACGAAATGATCTTAAGACCACTTCATAGGCTGATCCATAATCAGCCGACTGAGCCGCAGTCAGCAAGTGCAGTGCACAGGACCTCGACCACTATTGCTCCAGGGCCAGACGACAGTGTTCTCTGGTGCTGAGCGCAAGCCGATGAGTCAAGCTCTCGATTTAGGCAAAACAGTAGAACCAGAGAATAGTGAGTGGTTTACAGGGGGAGTATTAGTGCCTACGTAAATGCTGGACTAAGCACCGGAAGCATTGTAGCAAAAGCCACGCAATTACAAATTTCGACGAATTACTTCCGGACCGGATTGGGTTCGGAGGAACCCAGCCATACAGTAATGCAGAGCAAAAGTCGCCGGATTAAAACTACAGCGACTTGCCCCTTTGATGCCCGACTTGTCCAGGCATTGTGTTTGGAAGCACTATTTGATCGAGCTCCTTGATATAATTAAAATGGAGCACAGAGACAACGAGAGAGATGCTGTCATAAACTGAAGAAACTACTGCTCAGTGATGATAGGATGTGCTATTTAGATAGTCCATTTGGTCTGTTTTACTGCTAGTGTCTCAGGAGTTTGAAGGAGGTGAGTTTGAGTTTGGAGGTGAGCATACATAGCCATCCCCTTTCCCATGTATATTTTGGATTTCAAATCGGAAAAGTGATATCTTGGTATGACAACACTTTTATCCGGACCGCATCGCCGGCGAGTTCTTTGTCTAGCCAGTCTAAGTTCACCCTGCTGATCAGCCGCTCATATTTTAAAGGTTAAGTTTTCGAACTACTAACTGGGAGGTCGCGGGTTCGAACCTCCCAGGATTTCAGTAAGATGCACACTGCTGGTGATTCCAGATAAGGATGAAACAGCTGTACAGTTCTTCTGGACTCTCCAACATAGTTTGGGTTCGTTGATACGACGAAATCTCCATCACGAGTCATTTGATAACGGACGTGTAGAGCTGGCTACCGAGAAACTGCTTCAGAGTTATGAAAAGGTGAAGAAAATGACCCCAGCTTTATGTGGTAAACAGGCAGTTGGGAATAAATATAGTTTTCTCGTATTTGATCTCGGTCACTTTCGAGTTTCACTCTCAAGCCTCACTCACAAACCTCCGCAATAAATTTCATGTTATTGAATCGGTTAAAGGTTACCTCTGAATTTACCACTGTACTTTTTTTTATAATCTGTGCTAATTCGTTGCGAAACGTCGATGGATACCACAAGACCCATGAATATTCCTATTCTTCAGTGACGTTCAAAATTTTACATTACACGTGAAGTCAGCCAGATCCTGACGCATTGCAGTTAACCGGCAGGTCGGCGGACCACCAGAGATGATATCTATTTATTGATAAAGCAAAAAAAAGCCAAGAGTAACTGTTGATCTAGGCGCCAGACATACATGTACATGTATCCCCAATTTACTGTTTTATTCCGGCTGGTTGTAGTTTTCAGGAGTTTGTGAAGAGATATTCGAAGTAAGGTTTACAACCGTAAACAGCCAATCACATCACTGATCAGTTCAGACAGGAGCTTTATAATATTGGTCTGTTCGTTCTTAACAGATCCGAATTGGCCATCGTTTACAATGATCGAGGAGTACTTGAAAACCATCACGTGAGTGCCGTGTTCAGACTGATGCAACAAGACGAGTACAATATAGTGAACAACTTGGAACAAGCACAGTTCAAGTAAGTTGCCTGTTTCTGTGTAGACTCGATTGCAGATTCCGGTATGTGTGGCCGGTAAAATTCCAGAACTTTTGATTGGTTCTCCACAAAGAACCGATGACTAAGCATATAACTTTCATGTTACTCACTGCCCGCCTAGTGATTGCCCAGATTACTCGACAGTCTGCAGGGCCTCAAGCTTACCTAAAATAATCTAAAGGTCCTTATGACATCGACTAGCTCAGTCCCTGATGCACTGAATATTGCGAGTTGGTTAGCTGATTGGAGACGCTAGCTCTCCCAACGTTTCAAACCACTAAACTTGCTTCTTTTTACCAGTAACCATCGTTTCTTCACTGCCAAAATTTAGATCAGTTGAAATCTTCCCGAGCGTGAAACCGCTGCATCGATTCATCGTTCCTGTCGCTTGTTAACCAAGCGTGACCACGAGAGGCTGACTGATAGTCTGCACGTCTTTTGAAACTTCTTCCCAACTTTTATGCAACATAAATGTGATTTGTTCTCTTGCTCCTCTCTAGGGAATTCCGTCAAATGGTTATCGATATGGTCCTATGCACAGACATGTCTTTGCATTTTCAACAAATCAAGAACATGAAGACAATGATTACAATGCCTGAAGAGTAAGTAGTGCCCTAATTTCCGTATGCTGTTTTACTTTCAATACTAAATCAAGTAGGGTACATTCTAGGATATCTAGCGATGGGCAACATCGGTGCACTTTCGAAACAACATGCGAATAAGCAGACTAGCCATCCGCCCAGACCACATCCAATCAAAATTAAACATCCGAGGTCAACAGCCGCTTGAAAATCAGCACTCCGGGCGTGGCTTACTGAGCACAAATGTGGGCGATGGACTACGCGTCCTTTTGTAATATCTTCAGAACCACAGCACATTGCTGTCCTCGAGGCCTGCTGTACCTGAGGCTTAGGACCGACAGAAATCACCGAGTTAGCATATCATTTCTTCTGTTGGACTGACAACCCGCATTTTTACTATTTATTCTTGTAGTGTGGATAAAACCAAAGCGTTATCTCTCATAGTTCATTGCGCTGACATTGGACACCCGGCCAAAAAATGGTCTTTGCATGAACAATGGACCAACATGCTGTGTGAGGAATTCTTCCGACAAGTAAGTTGGTTCACGTTCGGTGTTTATTTGTGGTGGTGATGGAGAGAAAGTTGGTCATTTTCAGTCCTATTAGTGAAGCTCATGTATTCTGAAAAGCCAGAAAGCAATGTACAGCTGCTTCATCCTTATCAAGAAACATCAGTAGTGCGTATCTCACGAACTAAAACAGTTCCTTCTCCCACGGAACACAAGTCGGTGACTTAGTGTTGTATCGGACTGTTTGGACGAGTGTAAACGGACGTTTCTGGAGATATATATTTCATATGTGAATAAGTTCAGTTGGTATCCTTTGCTTTTCAAAGCAAGTTAAGCAGTGGAGCACTAATGCCTTATGACTGGTTACGCAAACAGATGAGTCAAAATGAGAAACAACCTGACATGATATGATACACTTACATGTAGGAAAGAAGGAATCGTGCGGTGTACATCCCGCAGTCCAAAAACTTGCCGGTTGTCTCATGGGCATTATTACAAACCTTTGTAGCCCTGAGGCCGTGAAATGTGCTAACATGTAGGGTACACCTGAGTTTACTTGCTTCCCACCTTGCATTCATGTGATGCCGTCTAAAGACAGCCCTATTCGTGCCGCGATATACTACACCAGAATACTCACATGAATTTAAGAATAGGATGCTTCAAACACGTCGACATAAATGCAAATTTAACAAACAAATAGATAAATAAAGCTTATTAAATATAGAATTCCTTCTCGATAATGCAATAAAAGCGTCAGAATACCTATCCGGCTAGCGTTATTCGTATTTGGTTTACTTCAAATGCAGACTACCAACTCTAAACAAACGAATTCTCCTATCCCCGTTTAATTCGTATTGTCAGCTTATTGATCACCAATGCTTCAATGTTCTAAATCTCTGGTAACCACAGCACTTACGTTGCCAATTGTTGGTGTTTTCATCAGATTCCACGCCAACGGCAGCCTTCAATTGGGCTCAATCATTGTTGTGACATTGAATTTTCTGTATCCCAAGTTTACTCACTCGCTGCTCATGCGACAGTACTGTGGCATAGAATAGTGTTCAGAATATTTTTCTTTCCACCGTAAATGAGAACACAACATTCTGGAACAGCGCAATGAAGGTTGTCAACTATGAACTCTTACGGTCGAAAGAAACAATATGCGTCACTGCTCCGTTTTTTCAGGTTCTACCAACTGCGAAATCTGGGCTAATTGATCCCCTCGCCTCGCTACTGACAAAACAGCAGTAGCACGTTTGGCGATCGAAATTAGTGTGCGCGCCTGACGTTAGGTGGTGCAAAGCCTCCTAGAAGACCACGCGGATCGCAGCAAAAATTCCCTGCCCTTATCATAAGTAATGAAAACTCTATATACAGCAGGCTAATGGTGGCTTGGTGGAGATAGAAGCAGATGCTCCTAAAGGGGTTCAACTGAAAAACCGCTTATTCCTTCTAACTGGAGTAATTCAACATGACTCGAATTGAAAAATTATGCTGCTGTGGATGGATTTTTAGGCTTTCCAAAGCACTTATTAGTGAAGTCGATATAGTGAGAGATTGAAAGGTGTACACCTCCATTTCGGTGAGGAAAGTTGGTATAAATTCCGTTTTGCATTCTGCTTACAGGGTGATCGAGAAAAAGAGCTCAACCTACCAATCTCTCCACTCTGCGATCGAAACACGGTTGTCGTACCCCAATCCCAACTTGGTGAGTCATCATTATTTGTCATTCAAACCCGTCATCCACTTCCCTAACCGATCAAGTAAGAGAGGGAACCATACGCAATTGGCTTTTCCTTAACCTTTACGGCAAATTAGTTCGGCTACCTACCTACAAACATTTTGTTCACCACCGTGTTTGAGTTTCCAAGACATTCGGTTGGCTAGTTTGGTTAGTTTGACCACTCAGCCCTCTCACTGGTGACACTATTGATAAGTCAGTGAGGAGGACACTGATCTAAGTCAATTGCAAAATGTTTGGGACCGATTGGGAAGTCATCGTTTCAGAGAGGTTTCGTAAACAATAAACCCACCGAATGTTTACCAAACCTCTCTGAAAGGAAATGGATCTTTTCACTGAGAAGTTCAAACCATAACGATCGCAATCTGGACACCATCCCTTCAGTAACGTTCTCAATAACAGTATACTGACAGAAAACCATTGCAACAAATAATCTACCTCCATTTCTGTCACAGGCTGCCTGACAAGGGGTTCAGCGCTGCGTGCATGCAAGAGTGTGACATCTAAAGGTACTATTGACTAGCCACAAGTGAGGATTTGGGTTTATGTTGGCTTGAAAGTTGGTCGGCAACACAGACGTAGTTGCTGAAGAGGGTACCAGAATATGGACAAGGAAGGGGCCAGAAAGTTCTCCCTTGCTATTCACTGCGAAGTTTACGGCGTTTCTGACTTACCTGAAAAATAACAATGGAGACAAAAGGCAGCAAAACACAACCTCTTCGCTCACCAGAATGGACTGAGTCATATTACTACTAGTGTGAGGAGATTTGGGTTTTTTTTGTGGAGGTTTCGTCCTGTAAGTGAATCCAACCTATACTGAAAAGCCCAGAAGCACTGTACAGCTTCTTCATCTTTATTGGAAATCATCAGCAGTGCACGTCTCACGAAACTCCGGAGTGTCGAACCAGCGACCTCTCAGCTGGTGGTTTGAACACTTAACCGTTCAGCCACGAGCAGCTGATTGAAGAATGAACGGCGCTATATCCTGTCTAAGGGCAAGTTGCTCACACTGCTGATTGGCCGCTCGTGGCCGAATGACTGAGTATCAAACTAATAGCCGGGAGTCGCGGGTTCGACGCTTTCCGGAGTTTCGTGAGATGTGCACATCTGATGATTCCCAATAAGGATGAAGCAGCTCTACGTTGCTTCTCGGCTTTTCAGTAGGGATTAGTTCCACTTACAGAACGAAATCTCCACCGAGTCATATACTGGGGATACCCGGGACTCAATCTGACCCACCCTGACTGAAAAAAGCAAGACTGGAGTGAGTAATAAAACAAGATGTTTGGCTTAAACGCATATGGAAACATCATAAATCACAGGAGAGCGTGGGCTCAGAAGTCCAAGAGAGTAATATGCAGTTGTACTTGTCTTCCATAGCATTACGGCCAGTGCGTCTCCTCAATTTGGAGTTTAGTGGTCGTTTTATAGAGAACCATTGTGAAGTATGTATGCACAACTTGGTGGTTCCAACAGACGATATTTTCTGTGCCAGTGCAGACAAACATCATCGGCAGCCTTGCACGATTTCAACAGCGATGCATTAACCACCATTCAAGAATGAAAAAGGAATCCTTGATAAACTGAGAAGGGTTTGTGGGCCTAAGTTAGAGAAGACGTGTTTATAAGGAGGACGATTAATAGCAGAGTGCTTGGGCAAAAACGTGTCTCACTTTCATGTCGCAGTGAAGTGCTACCACCCGGATTAACCCAGCATTTATTGCAAGCCTTAACTAAAACAAGTTCAGCATCCTATTGGTCCTGCCTGGAAGCAACGATTGGCTGACCACCTGGATCGGTTACTTATCGGCTACCACAAGGCACTTTCAAAGCTGCATCCATAGATAGTTCCACTGAAATATCTTCACAAAAGATCAACCTCAACAGAAATAAAGTTTAAAAATCACTGGTTCACAGTATAAAGTAACCATCACATTACAATTTCTACCTGATAAGACAATTTATCTTTGTATTGATCAGGTTTCATCGACTTCATTGTTGAACCAAGCTTCCAAGTTCTCGGTGACATGATTGAACGCATTATTACGCCTGCTACTCCTGAAGATGAAAAGTCTATAGATGTTCCCACGCCTCCCGGTAAGTTTAACGCATTCAGCTGGTAACGTTCGCAAAACTTAGTCATTTGGGTATTGTATTTCTTGGCATAAAACTGCTGCACAAGAGAGAGGTCACCCTTCCAAATTATGTAGTATTTGCAGACAAAATGTTTGGCTTATCAAACAGACCAAATTGGAAGGACCTGCTCAGAAAAGAATTGCTTGGCAAGTCGCATGAATACACGTCATTCATCACGTGACTTTGTGCTTTAGGAGTGCGATTTTATATCCCGTGCACGTGCGAGTTAATCACATTGCTAATAAGCCACTCGTCACCTTATTGCATAGTTTCCAAGTACCAAGCGGAAAATTGCGGGTTTAGTTTGTCGTGGGGGTTCATGTTCGGGTGCACTGATGCTGCCCAACAAGGACCAAGCTGCAATGCTACTCAACCTTTTAGCACCTACGGGATGGCATCTCGATGAATGATGTGTCAGGATAGTGTCATTTGACTTCAGCCGCTCTATCAGTAGACGCATTGACAATAGAGATCAGGTGTAAACTTCATACCTTTCACCTGGGCTGAATTCGACCTTGTTTGAGACCACCGGACGAAGATAATTTGACCACTGGATGAGACACCAGGGGCGACCGACTGATGAATAAAGAGAAAAATTGTACATTTTACCACCGTCCCTGTCCCCACAACCGGTTTTGCTCCTCTTGAAGTTGACCGATTACAGGCAATCTCCGAGTCTCCGTCAAACTTGCGAATTACTTTGGCCCAAAGTCTATGCGATTCGCAAAATGCACTCATTATGGTGGAAGGGTGATAAACATTCATTCTCAGATCAAGCCAATGTTAACAAGAGACTTTGATAAAATCCAGCTAACCATTTAGGTCTACCTGACCAACCCCAGCAGTTTTCATCAATCTTGTGTAGAAAAGTATACCTTAGCTTACTCCGAATTGGGCGGGAAATTAGTGGGCTCTGCTGAGAGTTAATTACAGATGATCAATTGAGTAAGAGAGAGAGATGGAGAAAAGTGAACGTGCAACTTAGTAAATTTCGCCGATTGCGCGAGATTTGGTGTTCAAGCATAACTTGGGAGACTCAAGACTGTGCCTACTTGATGAACCCCAAAAAGATCGAGCCTGGTGGTGAACTGTCAAACTTTTCAGTAAAATTCTGAGTAATATATTCCGTCAAGAAGGTTTTTTTCGTTTTTTTTTCATGATGACAAACACCAACCTCCATTTTTCTCGTGAAAACAGCAAACAATCAGAATTAGGCCGTCGGAGGGTTTTCAGTAAAGTCAAGAGTAGTATAGTCTCTTAGGACAGACATACCGCTCTGTTTGATGAAATTAAAGAAAACATAACGGTAGTTGTTTGGGTACGAATTCAGCTTTTGGTGCCCTGCTCAGGCAATTTGAAAACCAACGGCTAATATTCATTTGAACTGTGAGAAAAACACAGCAGAATTTGTGGTGGAAGTGCATCGACGTGCTTGAGGATGAGGGTCCACGAATTTGAATAAAACTCACTGAATCTCATGCTTGGATTGGTTCATGTTTTAATAGTCATCATAAATGTCTTAAGATCTGATAAAGGATCTCACAATACCTTTCTGACGACGGACCTACCATTTTTTGCTTATTTGGGGTCTTGGAATTCATGGGATTCATCCGTTCAGGAATAACTCCGTTTTCATCATTCTACCTTGCCGAAAAAGAACATTTTCACTTGCAACACAATACTCATAAGGTAGCTGAAAACATTTGAAAAGCCTTAGATCGGTTTTGCCTTTCTTGGGGCTTGTCAGGCAGATACGGTCCCCTAGTTCCCGTCAACTTATATCCCATCTGAATTCTCACGGAATTTGGGAACTACACTTACTTGCACACCAGTTTGGTCATGACGGGGAACCTAACAGAATCTCTCATTTGCAATATTCTTCAACTGTATTGAATCTAGCTCGATTTCACGATAATTCTCCATTCGTTTGCTTACTTCGGATTGGTTCATGTTTTAATAGTCATCATAAATGTCTTAAGATCTGATAAAGGATCTCACAATACCTTTCTGACGACGGACCTACCATTTTTTGCTTATTTGGGGTCTTGGAATTCATGGGATTCATCCGTTCAGGAATAACTCCGTTTTCATCATTCTACCTTGCCGAAAAAGAACATTTTCACTTGCAACACAATACTCATAAGGTAGCTGAAAACATTTGAAAAGCCTTAGATCGGTTTTGCCTTTCTTGGGGCTTGTCAGGCAGATACGGTCCCCTAGTTCCCGTCAACTTATATCCCATCTGAATTCTCACGGAATTTGGGAACTACACGTACTTGCACACCAGTTTGGTCATGACGGGGAACCTAACAGAATCTCTCATTTGCAATATTCTTCAACTGTATTGAATCTAGCTCGATTTCGCGATAATTCTCCACTCGTTTGCTTACTTCGTCCATGTACTTTTGATCTCCACTAGTTTTGTTCGTCTGTGCCCGCCACTTAACTTGCCACTAAGGCCGTCCTGTCTGACACCAGTGTGTTAGCATGTTCATCTCCCTGTGTGTGCGGCTGAGGCACTTACCCATGTGCGTTCGTGCTGAGCATGCGTTTGCTGAGCATGCACTGACAGGTCCACTCACGAGTGCAATTTGACCGCACCGCCAGTCTGATTCATGAAACCGTCGTCGGAAAGGACGACCACGACCCACACTAGCGAGCCAACAGATCACCCAAAGTGTGCGGATGTTGACACTGCAATGTAGCGGTCAGTGACGGACTTGTGCACTTGTTGACGCTACGACCGTGGACAAATGATGCTTGGTGCGTAAATTTGCTCACCCTAGTGAAAACAGCACCGCGGAATTTCGAACCCAATTCTTCCTTCTGACCATCGAACCTACGCATCACTCAAAGTTCCGTATCGGGAACCTCAGCAAACTGAATGCGTAGTATTTCAGTTGGTACGATTTTCGAGATATCTTGAAGGGCACTACTCACAAGGTTGCTAGAAACTCTTCGACAGTCTACGACCGGTTTCGCCCTTCTTGGAGTTCATCAAGTGGGCGCAGTCCCCGAGTTTCCGTCAACCTTACATTCTACTTGAACCAAAATTGGATGGAACTGCTGAACATTTCCAAAACTTCAGAAATGGGTGCTACGGTATAACTCTGAACATTTTCTCAGACAGTCACTGATAAATGAAACAGTCAAAAAAGTTTCAATTTGGCTTCATTCATAATGCGAAAAAAGCGATGCGAATGCTTTTTTCGACTCAGCTTCAGTCCTCGTTAAACTGCATGCTTGGGCAAAATCACCGTGCAAAGAGAATTGAGGTCTTGCTGTTTTAGGGCAAGCATAATCTACAAAACCGAGATTTAAGTCACTAGCATCTGTGTTGTTTAAACTTTTTATGCTGATCCATATTCATCCTCCACCCCGCTAAAAGTATGATCAGTTTTGAAGCTTAACACATGGGCGTTGATCTTAAATCCTAGCCAAGTCCTTTTTCCCAATTCAATCCTGTTCCTGTTGTGTTTCCGCGTTTACCCACATCCTTTGCAGTGCCGGTGGTTCCTCGACCCTGGGAGGAATGCTTCGATGAGAACAAGAAAGCCTGGGCCGCGCTGACGGCCGAAGCAAAATCCAAATCTTGACACAAACGACGCGCATCCTCCCCCTTTAACCGAAAACTACGACTGTCTGTTATTTTTGGCAAACTTTCTGTCTTATTCCAACCCATTAGCGAACTGATTACGGACTCATTCCCTGACACTTCCCACCCTCCAACCCTCGCCCACCTAACCCACTCACGAATAGCTTGGGTTGCCATGCTTTCAGTCAGTGCTGAACTGTCTGTCTGTCGGGCGCAGTAAATTGACCTAAGCTTACAAAACATAAATGATCAGTTTTTAGTCGCTCCTACCATTAGACCGAAAAATAAAAAGCTGACGGATTCACAGGTCACGTGTTGTCTTTTCCCATTGGTTGAAAGTGCTGAGGGAAACTAACGGTCTTGTCAGAAAATGAGGTAACGTTGTCAGTCGGGTATTTCAACAAGTGTTATCCCGAATGAAGTGAGGTGCCTAGGTTCCGACCAACTTGAGGGGTATGAACGGAAAGTGTTTCCAGGGGACCATTATAGTAGCATAAAACATTTCTCCGCTACTGTGGAGGCAACAGACCGTAATACCGAAGGTGTGTGCCGTATTACATTCGTCTTCAAACCGGAGTGAATTGTCCTGTGGCTGGCCAACACAGTGGGAAACAAAATCACAAAAACTCACATGTACACTCAGTCAAGGAAAAAATGCATTGGCTATGGGGGTAGCAGCAAATCCTTTGGCTTTTGGATTCATGCTCTTGTCGTCTTGTTGATGTCCTGTTGATCTTTATCCACAGAATTAAGAATCCGCCTTCCACGTCGACCTTTGCGTGTACTCGTTTTCGGTAGACCACAAAGGGTGGACGCAAACGCTCCCACTAAATCAAATTAACAAACTAAAGTAAATGTGAGCAGTGGTACAAGAGGCCATCCTACAATCAATAAGGCTTTCACGTTAATTCTCAGTCGAATTGAGCTCGGAGCTGTTCACACAGGCTGGATTTTTCGTGAAGTCGAGCTCATCCGCCTGGTCCTCAACTATGCTTGAGTACTTTCAAATAATCCTGAGTACAGTGTGAGATAACTGTTGTTTGTAGGTGTGATGACCAAACTTGAGTGTAGGAAATATGTTGTCAGTTGGTCAGATGTCTCTTGATCTGTCCCAAAAGCTTGGTAAATGACATTTCGCTGCCCTTCGAAAAGTCATCATCATTGCGCGGTCGAGTGGGTGAGTGTGCCCTCAAAGTTGGGCTTACTGGTAAGCCAGGCACTCGGTGCAGGATTTTGTGGGGTCGGGATATACCTATAGCAAGTGTGTTGTCAGTAGTGACGTTTGAAAAGTTAATATATTATTACTTAAACTTTTATCGCAAGGCACAACAACATAAGTGGTATTGTAATTGATACATATATATAAAATGTATATATATATATATATAATTACTGATGGTTACTGATGGCATCAGGTGACGCACACAAAGATCCGAAAAGACTGAAATCAACCTTCAAACCACCCTTACAAATGGCCTTCAATGACAGTAAAAGCAAGACCAATATGCTTTCAACCGCACCCCATTTTTAAAGGATTTACGTAACAAAACTGGTCACCGTACGGGCCACCACATTTCAATGAAATATTTTCGGGTGATACAAAATTGTCCTTGGAGAGGGTGGTTACTTGTGGGACGGTGGATGTTGCCACAACAATGTGCGGCAACATTGTTGCCGCACGTTTTCTGCACCTGGATAGTGAAATTTCATTTACGCTCAGGTTTTCTCCAAAAAATGCTATCTCAGTGGAACAGAAGTTTCTATATCGGTGGATAGATTGCTGGGCAACGTTTCGCTTTTGACACAAAAGCTTCCCTCGGCAAAGTGAATGAGTAAGTAGGTCGACTGGGTTTTAGGGCAGTCAGGGAACCAATCCGTGGGGTATTTTATGACTAGCCTACTTGATCAGTGCTGGGTGTTCAGTCTGATGTTCCTGTTTGTTGGTTAGTGGGGATGACTTACATTTACGATGGACTGGTTAGGGGCAGGGATTCGCCTTCACGTTGAACCCGGATTTTTCGTCCCTGCTTTATCAGTCTAGGACACTTTAATGGAAAATTCACCTTGAATTCGTTCACAGAGTTCGTTCACCTGTGTTGGTCAAAGGGTGGTTAACTGGATCTAACTCTACATGGATTTTGTACTTTTAGACCCAGACTATTTCGCTGATAACTGCACACCGCCCCGTGTCATCTCGACTGATCTAAGACCGCTCTCCACACTTCTGCAAGTTCTACTCCCCTATTCCATTTACGCTGGGATGTTTGGCGATTTCCACCGCCTCTGCCACCAGTAGCTGTGGGATGAATCTTAAACCCCGCCTCAGGATGTCCACAGATCTAATCTATCGTAAATGTTAGCCATCCACACTAACCAACGAACAGGAACATCAGACTGAACACCCAGCACTGATCAAGTAGGCTAGTCATAAAATACCCCACGGATTGGTTCCCTGACTGCCTTAAAACCCAGTCAACCTACTTACTCACTCACTTTGCCGAGGGAAGCTTTTGTGTCAAAAGCGAAACGTTGCCCAGCAATCAGTCCACCGATTGTGTAGCAAACCTCTCTGAAAAAATGAGTTCCCAATCGGTCCCAAGCATTGTCCATTTTCTATAGTTCGGCTTAGGCGAATCCTGCAGCCATCATATACTTCTGCAATTCTATGGCTCATGCATTTAATCGGTATATGATGTTCCAGCAAATGTTAAAATGTACAGTTAACCCCGTTTGCGTATATGAATTCCCCATGCATCCTAACGTTATGGCAGTTAAGCACGAATGCGCCGTCCACATGAAGCAATGTACGCTTTGAGCCGTTGTGCGGGGCGGCAAAAACGGCATCCAGCACCATAGATACACAACATCGGCAACCTTTCGGTAGTCCACTTATTTTTGTTTATGGCACTTAGCTACGATTAACGCAACCTTTACCTAGCATGAGTGCCGTCTTATATTACGGCAATACATTCCGTTGTCACGAGCGGTTCGGACGTGGCCACTACTAAATTAACTTTGTGTAAATTAGTTAATGGGCCTACACCGTTGTCAGGGTGGCCGAGCGGTCTAAGGCGCCAGACTCAAGGGTAAACCTTCTGGGTGTTCTGGTCCACGAATGTGGGCGTGGGTTCGAATCCCACCTCTGACACACTTTTCGCTGTTCTCACCGTCTCATTGGCGTAGGGTTCCATTGTTGGCTTTTTAAGCATCAGTGGACAAGGTAACTGGTAACTTCGACTGGCAGACCCGGTGCATAGAGGTTTCAAACGGAAAGTGGATGGTCGTGGACTAGTGTTGTGATCCGCTGTCGCGTCTGAACCCACCAAACAACGACACGCATTTCCAGGCCTTGATCAGAATGAATAGGCACTTTTGGATACGAAAAAATAAACACGCTACTCTCATCCCGGATTAAACCTGTTACCTGTGGAAGAAAAGATGCTCCCTCCAAACTCTGCTGAAAATTCCCGTACATGTTGACCGTTGAGACTGCTCGGAAACAGTTTATCGTTAGTTCGTCACATACAAATTGGACCTGCACGATAAATACCTCATCCTCGACTGTATATTTATAAACAGTTTCTAAACGGTTCCTTAGGTATCACTGATTTGTTTCAACAACACTCCCATCACATGCATGTAGAGACCGCGTGAGTCACCGGGGATTATATTTTAAAAAAGCATTACACCCTACGCAAAGACGGAGAGCGACTGGAACAAACACTCTAAAACGATATGGCAGTGCATATGAACAAAATTAAGGTTCTATTTATTATTAGATTCCCACGCAGCCTTTCATGAACTCCTCACAGGTAACAAAAATGAAGAACCTAAAAGTTGTGGTAATATAACCACAACCTTTTGGGTACTCATTTTTGACTTCAGCTGCTACCGGATTCGGGACCAACGAATGGAATGCTGGTGGTATGGCTCCGTTCCGGTTTGTGCGGTTGTGCAGAGGCAATTGCGTCACCCTTCCTGGATCATATCGCTTTGGGGTCACCACTCCGTTGAATCTTACCTGAGCTGTTGTTGTTAGGAGGCCTGAGATGCACCCAATGATTTGGACTTTCAGATAGAGTTCATTGATTTCGATCACTGCACATAATTTAAATAGGGTCTACTGGTTGCGTAGCCAGTGCTAAATCCCCCGGGTATTCACGATGACCCAAGTCAGAGACGTCGGTGTTGTTTCTGTCATCTCACGACTGGCCTTTTGTGGGAACTAAGACCTAGGAGCTCGGTAATTACAATTATCCGACTTAATCGTACCGGATAAGTCTCTAGCGAAGCGTAAACCAGGCAAGATTTGTCCAGATCTTCGATACAATGGAAGTTCCAACCACGCCCTGACTGTGCTTTATTGACCTTAATACGGGGTGTTACTACTGCTACTGGTGACGCACTAACAGATTGGCCCAAACTTGGTTCCGCAACTATATACTGTGCCCTAAGTAACTCAGGAGGAGTCGAACGGACAGAATAGGGTTACATATAATGCAAACGACACCACTCTGAGCTGTCTGAGGAGTTGCCGCGTGCGTCAAGGTCGAAAGTCACGAGTTAGCATGCACGGGATCAGGAAAATTTGATCCAAATAAACCAGTCTCTGAGACATATCCTGTTCTGAGGAAGTTGGCCAAGGGAAGAATGGCGAAAATCAGTATCGAATGCAGGTCTTTCGGACTTCACTTCGGTGCTTGGATGCATGCATGCATTGGATGTTTTAAGGGGTAAGCCGGATTAAAGCCGCTCACATGGGTCTATTTACGGAAAGCCATATAGGGTTACTGGAAGCCATCGCCCCCTTTATCTGATTTCGACAAAACGTACCTATGTATCTGGTCCTGGAATACAGGAATTAAACCGAAATTCGATTCTTTTGAATGTCGATACCTAACTAGGCCACGGCTGATAAAGTTTGCTCGCTGGAATCTGGAGAATGCGAATTCACACAGACATCGAATATTTTTACATAGACAACCTACTCATAAGTAGTCTGTATACTTACAAAAATCCACGGGCTAACTCGGTGTCATCGCTCGGCATGCAGCAAAGGTATTGAGGAAAATGTTGGTAGCTCAGGTAGCGTAGATGGTAGTTGGCCTGCCCAGCTCAGCTCAGCTAAGAAAACTATCGCTTTACATAAGTGAATACGAAGTCACCGGGAGTTCTGTACAGAAAATTCTCTACACACACCATTACGGGGTTTGTCCGGTATGAAGGACAACAATGGTCAAACTCACTCGTGTGTGGGGAATTCTATCCAAAAAGGACTTCAGCTTCACCATAAATCAGCATTGCTTGTCGCAATATGGTATCATTTGTGGAATTAATTGGTCTTGTTTTAATTACTTCATATGAAACAAGGCGGACGGAACCAAATGAGTGCATGTGAACACATTTACGCTGCAATGGGGTACTTGTTCTTTAATGCTGGGGTTTTCCACACCGTAGAACAGGGGGATTCGTGCGGCCGCAAAGCGTAATACACAATGCTCTTCGCCGTCATCCTTTAGGATGCTGTTGTTTGATATTCCTTTCGTTTGCCAAGCAGTACCACTTACCTGGCTAATGCGGCTATGGTGGGTGGACTCAGCTCATTGACACGGAACAAGTTTGAAGATATAGTTGTTCATCCAGGTGAAAAGCGGTCAGAGTTCATCGGTGCTCCAAGTAGTTTTCCTAGAGTTCAACTGATATTATTAACAGCGCAATTCAATTTAGAATAAAGCTCAATTTCGCTCAGTCACAGTTTGGCACGACCTGGTGAATTTACCGGGTCACATGCCGATGGTCTATCCATTCACTGTTCGTTGCAATTCAAGCCCTGAAGTCACTGACATGTCTACGTGGTCAGTTGGACAGAACATGCTTGTTCCGGCAGTGGTCATATGCGCACAACTTTACGGACTAGATAACCGGCGTAAACAATTTAAATTAGCTGATTTGTTCAAAGTCCTCTCATTCAAAAAGTTCTTCTTAGGGGAGTTTCATTGCGTTTATGGGTGTACGACAGAGTACGCCAGCTAATTTTTACTGAGAAACCAAACGAATGAAAGCGTCCATCGAATTTCTGAGACACACGAAAGTTCCATTCAATCTTAATCCGAACATCGCGTGATCTCGCTCACAAATCCTTGAGCGATGCATCACACAAATTCCAAGAAAAGATGTGACTGAACCTGAAGAGGGACACCAAAAGAAAAACAATACTTGAGTGATTGTTCCGAATATGCACACTACTATATTGAGTTTGTGCTTATCTGGGTTGGTTGCCTCACCTGACTGTACCCGTTCTGATATCGGTATAGTGACGTCGAATTTATTATTATTGTTGTTGTTATTTATTCATTTATTTATTTATTTATTCCCATGTTTCTATCCGAATGTTACCAAATGATGGACGGTACTGAATCGGGAATCTCTGCAACTGGCATGCAACGCGGGCAGCACCAAAAGGAGGAGCGTAGAGTTTACCAGATCCAACCAAAACCACAGCATGTACTGGCAGTGGTCATGTGGTTATGGATTAAATGGTTACTTCAGTAACCACCAATTAGCAGAACCATTCATACTTAAATTCTGAGCCCACGCTGCGATCATAAATACGCTTAAGTACGTGGATAAGTAAAGTATACTCATTTGCGTACCAATTTGGTTTTGAGGGGAGACTCGCCTGAAACCCAAGTGAATCGCCCCTTCATGATGTCTCTAAACAACTGAATGTGGATAAATGTTTCACAGTGGCTTTACACAAACTTGGAAGCGGTCTCACTGCAGCTGTGAAATCTTGCCCTGCCTATAGATAGTACCCCCTCTAAATGGAGGTTTCAACAAAGCTCTGCACGTTCGACCGGTGCATGTGTATAATGAACATGAGAGGCTGCACGTTATTGGTCACACAGCGGCAACCCCCCTGATCTTCTCTGGGGGGGGGGGGGGGGCATGGGGGCGAAGCTAGGCGAAACTTACGGACTCCTGGTAGGCTCTCTTCCTCAGGAAACGATGCACAGACATGAAGCTGAACGCTTATTGGTCGAGCTGATCGTCTATCGGCACGGTGGTTATGCCAACCAATGATCTAAAGGAGAGAGGCCTTTGAACGCGGGGTATTGAGACCAACCACGGAAGCCGGGTCTTGGCCCGCAGAGCGCATTGGTTCATGCCTACTCGTCCCTATAATCAGCTGTCAGTAACGCTGACACGCCGAAAGGGATGTTTGGTTGAGGGTTCCTAAAAATTTTGCGCTGTGTAAGTAGCATTTAGGGTTACCATTTCCGGAATTGAAAGTTGAAGCTAGGCGTTACGTCTTTGTAACACAAGGACCAAAAGTCGCCCGAACAGGGGCTCGAACCCTGGACCCTCAGATTAAAATCTGATGCTCCTACCGACTGAGCTATCCGGGCC